GAGATACTTGTGGCTGTGGACTCACGAGCCGGACAAGCGGACCCAGGCTTGTACGCCATTCCGGCATTCCGGCACTCAGGGCTGAGGCAGAAGGGTTGTGAGTCAGACTCCAGTCTGGGCTATATGGTGAAGCCCTGTCTCAAAAAAAACAAAAGCACACAAACACGATAACAAAAAATGGCCAAAATATTTAAAATTTGAATATCACTTCAGTCATTAGGGGATGCAAATGAAAACCATGCTGAGGGTCACCCCCCCAGTGAGGAAGGGTGTCATCAGCAGGCAGAGCACTGTGCTGCTAGGATGCAGAGGAGGGGGCCGTACGCTGCTGATGGGGGATGAGCAGTCACCATGGAAAACAGCATGGCGATTCCTTTGAAAAAAAAACAGGAAAACAGGTTTGCCTTGTGCTCCAGCTGTCCATTTGTGAATGTATATCCAAAGGAAGTAAAATCGGCACCTTAAAGAGCTGTCAGGTCCCCCTTGTTCACTGTGGCACTATTCACAGAAGCCAAGACACGTAGTCAGGTGTCCTCAACACATAAATGGATAAAAGAAAATACTGTGTATAAAGGTGTGGAATATTATTCAGCCCTTAAAAAGAACAACCCAGAGGCTGGAGAGGTGACTCAGAGGTTAAGTGCTCTGGCTACTCTTGGTTCCCAGCACCCATGTGGTGGCCAACAGCCATCCATAACTGGTAGCTGCAGGGCATCTGACGCCTTTTCTGACCTCTTCTGACGTTGTACAAACGTGGTGCACTTACATGCAGGCAAAACACTCATACATATAAAAGAAATCAAAAGGTTTTTAGAACAGTTCTGTTATTTGTGGGAACATATATGAAATTTGAGAGCGTTATGTTCCTGAAATAAGCTGGCTGGATACTGTCCGTTTTGATCATATGGAAGCTAAAAGTATCTGTAGAAGTTGGAATGATGATCACTAGAGGCAAGGAGGGTCGGGGGGGGGGGATAGATGGTGGGGCGGGGTCCTAGTGTCACACCACATAGTAGGGTGAGTGTAGTTCATCTTGACATTTTATTTTGTTGTTTTAAACGTGTGTGAGAGAGCGAGGGGGCAGAGGGGGAACATGCCACACCACAGGGCACGTGTGGAGGGCAGAGGACAACTTTATGGAGTCAGTTCTCTCCTTCCACGTTTGTGTGAGTCCAGGGATCAAACTCAGGTCACCAGGCGTGTGAGGCAAGCACTGTGCTCGCTGAGCTACCTCGCGGGCCAGGCGTTCTGTCATGAGAGGAGTCCCCGATAGAAAGAAATGGAACATATTTAAAGAGAGGGAGATGTGTTTATCTCCCTGATGTAAGATTGTACATCGTGTATGGAATTACCACCCGCAGTGCTTTTGTGCCTGTTAAAACTCAAGCAGCCAGTCTGGGGTGGTGCTTGGCCCTGTGTTGACTGGGAGTCTGGCCCTTGAGGTTGTCGTCTCCGCCCTGCCTTCTGCTTTCGGCGTGTGACCTCATAACGTGCTGTGACTGCGACCTGAGTCATTCTTTTGGGAAACATGGTGTTTTCTCATTGTGAGAGGACCAGAGGTTTCAGTGATTCAGCTCTAAGAAAGAATGTGAAGATGAAGAGGGTCGCAGCCTACTACATCTGCACTTGGTGAGTGTGGGGAGCGGAGGCTGCTGCCCAGCTGGGCTGTCAGCCTGGGGAGGAGCTGGTTAACGTGCTGGAAGGTGCTTGAGCTTGACTTGAGGAACTGGGCGCGGCCTTGACTGCAGCAACGCCCATGGAGGCTGCGGGCTGATTGGCTGGGCCGGCCATTGCCCTGGCAGTCCTGGAAGCCGTGCTGAGCTGTCTTAGTGACTGGACAGCTCCCCCCACAGGTGTTCCCAGCCCCACCCAGCCGTGGAGCAGGAAACTTTGCTCTGGGTTAGAGTTAGCCTCTGCTCTTTGGAGGCAGAGCTCAGCCAGCCAGCTTGTCCTGTCCTGAGAAGCCACACGATGGTCCTTAAAGAAGGCGAAGGGGAGGATGGTGAGTCCCAGCCCCCGGCTGAACCCTGGCAGCCTAAGGAGGATGGGGTGGCATCCTGAGGGTCCCTTTGGACCCATCTGTGAGCTCCAGCTTTACTTGGTAGGATTGTCAGGCTCTGACCTTTACCTTGCTTTTTACAGGAGAATAATTCTGTGTGTGTGTGTGTGTGTGTGTGTGTGTGTGTGTGTGTGAGAGAGAGAGAGAGAGAGAGAGAGAAGGAGAGAGAGAAGGAGAGATCTGAGATGGGATGGCAAGTCATTCACAGGTCCCTTCCAGCTTTCGCTTTACCTCGAGCTCTGCTCAGGCCGGCAGATGGCCCTTGGTGGCTCTCAGCCTCCTGCTGTCCGTCTTCCTGTGTCTGAGGTGTACACTACAGTGAACTGAGCTGGAAAGTGGCCCTGTCGTGTGTCCCGGTGAACAGTACCTGCACGTCTTAGCTAAAGCAGAGCTGAAGAATAGGTTAATTTGGCCTTCCTCTTTGGACATCGGGTGGCACTGGGTGCCGACTCTTTGAAGCCGTGAGACGCTGCATGGCGTCTGTTGTGCATCCCTCCTCTTCCCCCGACCCACTCTGTAAATAGTGGAGCTGAGCAAGAGGCGAGACTCAGGCAGCCCCCTTCCCCGAGCTTGCCCAGACCGCAGCACTTTAGCCATGCCCGCTGCGGCTGTGTAGAACACTGCTTTTGCTTTTGAAGAAGAGGACAGTGACAGGGCTTAATGCTAGGTCAGGGGTGAAGTGCCCACCGGGAAGTTTAAGTTTTATCTTTGAAAGTGAGTCCATGCTAGCCCAGGTGTTGTGTTCCAAAGGGAGCAGTTTTTTGATTTTGTTTTTGTTTATGTTTTGAGACAGGGCTTCACTGTGCAGCCCTAGGTAGCCTGGAACTTTCTGTGTAGACCAGCCTGGCCCTGAACTCACAGTTCCTGCCTCTGCCTCCCAAGTGCTGGGATTAAAGGTGTGTACCACCAGGCCTGACTCCAGAGAGGACGCTGAGTGAATGCTGCGATGGGAGCCTGCCTGACCACTGTCTGCTACGGACATCTTTGTGATTGCTTGCCGCTGGTTCTGTGCTCAGCTTCACACCCAACCAGAAGGTGTGGTGTAGGCTCTTTAAGCTCTAAGCCAGGAGGGTCATATGTGGTTGCTGTAGACTCCAGAGTCCAACAGTGCCTGCCCTGTGTGTGTGGTGATCCCAGCTGGAGTGATGGGGCAGGGGCAGGGCTTGAGAGGCAGAATGCAGAGACCAGATCAACTTTGCTGACTGAGTAGCCCTGAAGAGCGGGTGCCTCCACTTTCCAAATCCCCCCTGGGCTTTTCCTCCAGCTAGCTGTTTGGGGCAGAAGGGTAGGAGCATTGCCCTTTTAACCACTGCGTAAGTGGATGTCCTGAGGCGTGGTCACAGGAGGCAGGATGGCATTCAGCAGAAAGAAGGGAACTAGTGGAGTTTCCTGTGGTAAGCCCCTAAGATCCCTGGGAAGAGCAGCGTATTTCTCACAGGGCTGCTGCTGCGTGTGGCCTGGCCAGGGGTGAGAGTCTTCGGACGGACAGATGCAGTCTCTGGGGTCCTTGTTGCTCTACGTTCTCCCTCCAGGACCACATGCTCACCTGAGTGAGAACTGCCCAGCATCACATGCTCACCTGAGTGAGAACTGCCCAGCATCACATGCTCACCTGAGTGAGAACTTCCCAGCATCACATGCTCACCTGAGTGAGAACTGCCCAGCATCACATGCTCACCTGAGTGAGAACTGCCCAGCATCACATGCTCACCTGAGTGAGAACTGCCCAGCATCACATGCTCACCTGAGTGAGAACTGCCCAGCATCACATGCTCACCTGAGTGAGAACTGCCCAGCATCACATGCTCACCTGAGTGAGAACTTCCCAGCATCACATGCTCACCTGAGTGAGAACTGCCCAGCATCACATGCTCACCTGAGTGAGAACTGCCCAGCATCACATGCTCACCTGAGTGAGAACTGCCAACACAATTAACGGAGAGCTGTTTGATTAGTTTCCTGTAGATGAGTTATCTGAGCTTGTCTTTTTAGTGTGTAATCCCCCTTGATTTGCCACTAAGTTCTCTTGCGGTGTCTGCCTGTCCCAGTGTATCCTGGGCCCCAACCGGTGGTATGCCCACCACGCTCAGGCCCTTAGCTTTCTCGAGACTCGCCATTCCCACAGATTCTCCACTTGGGAATCGATTGTTGTTAAGTCCTGGCTCAGGGGCCGACTCCTCTGCAGCATCTCAGCATGCTGGTGGTGCCCATAGTCGCTGTGCTGGCTTGCTGCTGCCACAGGCTTACCCGCCTCTCCACATTGGCGGGGCTGGCACTGGAGCTATTTAAGTCCCAGCTCTAAGCACAGGCTGCGCCTAGAGCAGATGCTCAGCAAGTGCTGGCTAAATGGATCTGTACATTTCAGTAGGAGAAGAAATCGATGAAGACCAGCCAGAGACCAGGAGTGTGAACCGGGCTGTCGGCAGCGAAGCTGTACCTCATCCACAAGCTGGCAGGAGCAGTTCACAGAGAATATGCAGTTCAGAGCTGAGTTTGGTTGTCAAGTTTGTAAGAACTGGATGCGGAAAAGCATGTGAAGCCATGAGGTGCTACATGGGTATAAAATGGTATTATTCATAGGAAAACACGCATGTCAAATAGAGTTAAGTGTAGCACCTCTCCAGTGGGACACTGGATTTTCAGGTGGCAGCCATAAGTCCTGTTCCCTCACTGCATCCCTGGTGACCTGTGGCCTGGTTTTGAACAAACTGCTGAGGCGTCTTAGTGGGGAGACCCGAGGTGCTAAAGCTATGGGTGAGCACCCACAGATACTTCTCGTCCCTTCATCCGGAATGAGTTTGTGTTTTGCAGAGAGACACGTGGTTCCATCTTTATTTTTAAGCAGGAACGTTTGGCAGTGTACGATACACACATCAGAGCAAGAAGTCTGTGTCACCATCTGCCGTGACAATGTTGATTGGTCTTAATCCGACTTGAGCGTTGCAGGCCTCCCTGCTGAGGCCACCAGCCAGAGCGCACATGCACATGGTGGCCGGTCTTTCTTAGTGAAGAGGGAGGATGGAAACCAGGGTTAGGTTCTGTACCTCTGAGAGCGGCTGACCTTTATCCACCACCAGAGGCTTTCTGTTGCTTTCCAAGTTTTCTCTTCCTGCGGAACATGGATGTGTATGCTGGCTGCAGATGGTCGGGACCCACCATCCAGGTAGGCGGGAGGTTTAGGGAAGGCAACAGGTGGAATTATATTAGGTTCAGTGCTGGTGGAAAGAAAAGCAGGCTCATGTCTGGGCTATCCGCAGCCCTGTTTGGACTGCAGAGTTGTCAGTGGAGGTGAGGGCAAAGCTGGGTGCTGCAGGCAGAGAGAAAGTGGGGTGGAGTGGCATGCTTCAGCGTCCAACCGGTCCTCCTGGAGGCTCAGAGGGGCTTCCTGAAATCGGGAGGGGAGACTGCATTTAGTTTCCTACTGGCTTCGTAAAATACGGGGAGTTAGACCTGGAAATATCTGGAGCTTCCACCTCTCGTTTTTTCTTTGGACCTTGACAGCCTCCCAAAACAACTTAACTGAACACAGTGTTCTAGTGTCTGCTCTGTCATCTGTCTTCTGCTCTGCTGTGATTCCTTTTAGAAAAGGGCTCTGGTGAATGCTGCTTCTCCCGCCCACCCTCCCAGGGTGTTCAGCCTTGGGGAGTTCATGTGGTTCCCCACAGAGCTAGGGTGTCACTAGCCACAGCACAGTCAGACCTCCAGAGCCAGGAAGAGCCTTTGCAATTTTCCAGCCCAGTCCTGGTCAACTCTAAAGTAACAGCCATGCCTTGGCTCCAGGGAAAACTGAGCCCCAGTCAGATAGGAATACGCAGATCTGCCCCTGCTGCTGTGACCCTCTTGTCTGGAAGGCCACTAGTACCTTTTGTTTCTCCTGACTAAACATAATAGGCTAGGGGAGCTGCGGGGGCAGGAAATCAAGCCCTGCTGCCCTGCAGATGGCCTGATGTGGAAGGACCCACCCAGCATGTCCCTTCCTTTCTTGAGAAAATAAGGAAGTGTGTTTGCCTTGGCTGTGTGTCCCTCCATGCAGAGGGATCCTGGGTGTTCAACTTCTGACCGCAAGAAGATCCTGTGAGCTTCTTTTGGGTCAGTGGCTGCTCTGAGCCCTCTTCTTGATGCTAAGCCTCTCTCCCTGTGTTTTCTGGTGAGAGTCAGGATTCTGAACAGTAAATCCAGATAAAGGCCACCAGTGCCACCGCAGCAGCGCCAGGCAGCCCCTCTGAGAGCAGCCCCTGAGAATATGCTGCTAGGTAGGGCAGAGCTGAACCCCGCCTGCAGCACTGTTCCAGCACCTGCAAGAGGAGGAGGTGCTGGGAGGCTCAGGCCTCTGTGGCTGACGTCCAGTCTTGGCCTACTGCTGGGCAGCAGTGGCTGTGATGGGGTCAGCAGCTGGGCCTGCCCTGGACTCGGGAGCGGGGGGCTGCGCTCAGTGTCTTCATCGCTCCCCCTAGGCTTCAGCACCGCCCTTGAGCCAGGACTCTGCTTTGAAGAGTCTATGTCTGGCATGTCCTGTGAGACAAGAGTAGTGACAGCTTTCCTCTCGAAACCTTCAGGTCCTTGTTGGAAAAGCTTCTACTTTTACTGGAGTCGGGAAGCATTGAGTGTAAGGAACAGAGTAGAATCTCAGGCTCCGGGAGCAGGAGATGGAGAACCTGAGACTGACCAGAGGCCTTGTGCTCACTGAGCTCTTTAGTGCCCAGGGTACAAGGGGCTCGGTGCCTTGTGTGTCGAGAGAGCCTGTGGGCAGCACTGAGCATCCATCAGAGCTGAGGGCACGGTGTCTGCACCATCCTCATCAGAAGTTATCAAAGCAGTCGGTGGCTGGGTCTCCTTCCACTTGCACTTTGCAGAGGTCACTTTAGCCCCAGCCGTCCTGTGCAGCCCCAGCCGCCCTGTGCCTGAGACGCAGGGAGCAGCGTGTCAGCAGGCATGTTTGCAGAGCTGGTGCCGGTGAGGGGTAAGGGTGGTGGTGGTGCCCCAGCACGGCAGGGGAGAGGGCACCGTCTCTTAACCACTCCAGGAGCTTTGCCCGCGTGGGGCCAAGGCCTGGTTCTGGTCTTTTCCTCCCTGCACTGGAAGACCTCCAGGCCCTTCTCTCCCCAGGCGCCTCCCTGCCGCTGCTTGCTCTTCCGGAGGATCTCTCTCTTTAGCTCGGCTAAACAGTAGAACCAACTGTCTGTCCAGTGAAAGGCGCCAGCCGACTCCAGCTTGCCTTCCAGACTTTTCCACTTGGGCGGCCCTTCTGCCTCTGTTCTCCACTCTTGGCCTGGGCGTTCTTTCCTTCCTGACAAACCCTGAGGCTCAGCTTCCATCTTGGCTGTTATGTGGAACAATTTGACTGATGTCTGTCACTGTTTTCTGCCCTCCAGCCCACCCCACCTTTATGGTCCACCCTCAGGAAGCAGTGGTGCCTAACTGAGGGCAGAGCCCCATCGCAGGAACTTCGTGTCTTCGACAAGCACTGAACCGGGTGCCTGGTTTATATGCAGCAAGTTTCTCTGTTTTTAAGGACAGTTTCTCTGTTGGATTATTACTCTGAGAAAGTAATGTCTTAAAAACTCCATTTTCTGTGTGGGATTCCTGTTCTATGAACAGATTTTTTCCTCTTGAGTTTTTTCTGATACTGTGATTTCCTAAACTTGGTTGTGCGGTCATGCATTTTGGCATCTGAAGGACAGCTTTGGGTGCTGTTTGCAGCCTTTCCCTGACTTTCTGGTCTGCAGGCTTCATTTGTGCCTAGAATAGAGCTCAGACGGGCTTTTGCTGACAGCTGCCTCTGACATGGGTTCCAGACAAAGCTGCCCAGTTCACAGCTGTCAATAAACCCAGCAGTGGATCCTCTCTGTGTGCATTCTGGAACTGGCCACAGCCCGCAGAGCCATAATGATTCTTGTGTGTCATGGCTGAGTAGGTGTGGGAAGGGACAGGTTAGGATTCTCTTACCGGGGTCTTTCATTCCCTGGAGTATGTGTGCATTTGTATAAAAATCAATACTGTTGGGGCTGGAGAGAGGGCTCAGCAGTTAAAGAGCACCAGGTTTGATTCCCAGCATCTACATGGTGGCTGGCAACCGTCTGTAACTCCAGTTTCAGGGGATCCGACGCCCTCTTCTGGCCGCCGTAGGCATTGCACAACATGGTGTACTTACATACATGCAGGCAATACACTCATGCACATAAAAATAAAATAAATAAAAAGTTTGAAGAATTAATGCTGTTACCTCAACAAAGTGGATATAGATAACCCTTGGGATTATGAAAAGAGCTGTAGAAATAAATATTCAGAGTGAGCTATCACTTAGAGGCAAGTGCTTCATTTTGTGCACACACAAGTGCCCTAGGAACAGGGTGGCACATAACCAGATGGTGACTTGTATGATGAGACAGACCTGGAAAGACTGAGCTGAGATGGCCTTCAGATGAGGGCTAGTGCACACAGGTTGAGCAGCAGGTGGCCCTGGGTGATCAGGGAGTGCTCCCTGTGGGAGGTGGGCCTCTAAACAAGAAGAAAGCAGGGAAGACTGGACTCACCAGGTCTGACTGAGCTTAGACCTCTGGACGTGAGAGCCAAGGAGACAGGAACCCCCAGATGTGCCCAGGTAGAACCCTGTACCCATATTTTGTTGGAAACTTATGGCCTTTTGTAGCTTAAGGCAAAAATTTTGTGGTTTTAGGATTTGGTTTTTTGTATACTAAATATGATTATTTTAAAGTAGAATTGCTACTTGGACACTAAATTGCTCATATGATGACTCTTTGGGAAAAGACACTGGTTGGAGTGCAGAGCAAAGTATGCAGGCCGGTCTGGGGACACTGCTGTGATGATGAGGTCTATCCACATTCTCCAACTAGGCTGAACCCTGAGATAGAGGACTCTGGGAGGTAGGTCTGTGTGTGGGGGGGGGTGCCTTCTGTCAGTGGGTCCCTCGTGCAAGAGGCCAAAGAGGCCTGGGGTGGGGTTCCCCTTTGCTAGGTATCTGGAGTCCCTGTTGGTAACCAGGATAGTGCTGTCCCAGGGGACTTTTGGCAATGTCTGGAAACGTTCATACCTGATTGGGAGAGGGGTGCTGTTGGCTTTGAGTGAAAATTGGCCACAGGTACTTACTCCCACCCTGTGTTTGGCTGCTCAGCTTTTGTCTTCTGGATGCTCTACATACCCCAGGACACAGGGATGCCACCCCCACCACAAACTAGTACACTCCAAGAGGCCATAGGGCCCAGGCTGAAGAACTTGGGTCTAGTACAGGATACGTTTTCTGTTTTCCCTGCTTGCTGGTTTGCTACTTGTGTAACGACCTCCTGCCTCTTCCCTTTGTGGTCAAGCAGTGCCATGTCTGTAGTCAGTCACCTTGTAGCCCTTCAACACTAGGCCTGAACCTGTGAAATTTGTACCTTGGGACCTGGGGTCCCAGTTGGCATGCTTGTCAGGTACCCTTGGTGACTCTCACACCCCCTGAGGTCTCAGAGCCCATGCTTGCTCGGGGGCTGTAGCTGTGTTTCTTGTTACCCCAGGATCAGCCTGCCCAGCTCTGCTGCCTGAGGTGCCAGCATGCACACCCAGGGGAGAATTGTCCTCTGATAAAAAGGCCACAGCATCCCCATGTGGTGGCATGGGTCATCCAGGGCTGGGTCTTGGAGGATGCTGTGTCTCCAGATTCTCCTGGATGGTGTGTGGGAAGAGCAGGTTGGCCTGGTGCAGGATTGGCATGAGGACTGAGGTTACACCACGTGGGTGGCAGGTGTCTGCCCCCAGGTCCAGTCTCTTGTTTGATTGAAAGGGCATCTTAAGTAGGGGTTAACCTGCTTGGTGGGGAGGGGGACAGGACGTGGAGAGCAGCCATGGAGCTTTGCTTCTAAGGGAAAGAAGCAGGCAAGTGCAGCCTATGAGCAAATGCTGGTGGCGCCTCCCCTCCCCCGGGAGGCCAGGGAGGGTTAGTAGGAGGGGCAGTGTGATTGCATTCATGGCAGTGAGCCTGCAAGGAGCAGTGTGCACACGGAGTGTCAGCTGCTGCTGCAGCTCCATACACCCATCCCCATCCCCCGTGCTGCACCAGCCTTCCCCACCAGGCTCCGCTCACTCCCGCCCGCTGTTTGGCTGCTTAGCTTTTGTCTCCTCTGGACGCCTCTTCCCCTGCCCTTGTGTGCTGGCACACACATGCCG